ATAGCCCTTTTTTGGTTCCTAAGCAGCTTTTTAAAATTTATTTTCAGCGTATCTTTGAGTTTCGACTTATACTTTGAGTACACAAAGCAAACAACAATTTTCAAACTTGCAGGTTTGATAATTCCTACATTTTATTTAAAAACATAGCTGGCTCGTATCTATGAGCTTTTTATGCTTTGAAGAAAATGTTTTAATAATCAGAAAATGTACAGGAAAGAAGGTTGTCAAATTATGCAGAAATATAAATATTTTTTTAAAGTAGTCCGGAATCGAAGTTTGATTAGTTTCATTAAAAATATATATATATTCTTTTGAAACTTTTGTCCCTGATTAAGTACCTTTTTGGAGAAATAATGCATGTTTCCTTACAAGATTGAGGTATACTAATTTTTTCATAAACCAAATACGTGTATGATTTTTATTAGTTTTCTGATTTGAAATATTTTTTAAATGTTCAACCGTCTTATTCATGTAAAAGTAACAAAATATTGTACTATACTGGATTTAATTAATTCTACAATTGCAAATATATTGTATTCAAATTTTTTCGTTACTTATTACAAATTGAGAAATAAAAATCTAGTGCCTGAGTCCCGTTATTTCATAAGGTATCTATTGTCATTCAAATACAAAGAGGGTGAAATGGTAATTGATATTCCGGTGAAATGTTGAAAGTTAATCCCTTGATCCAGAGGGGTCGACTGACTGCATTGGTGAATAGAAGTCACGTGACTCAAGAAGGATTTTCCCACATTAAAAGACCGAAACATCGAGATTTTGATTAAACAGAAGAGATTCAACGCTGAATAAATCCGCATCATCTATAACAAGATCGATGAAGATAAATGGTGGTACTAAAAGTTTCAAATCTGATGAATATTATTAACCACAAAAACCCTTCCTATTATATTAAAGATATGAATTCAGATAGGATATATTCCTTTCTTCCAAATTAAATTTAAACTCAAATATTGATTGATACGTTGTATATAATAAAGAATATGGAATTGTATCTTTTGAATGAAGATTGACTATGTTCTGTAGAGCTTTGTTCAAAATTAATTCTGTAGAAAACAGTTGAAAAATTGACTAGCTATTGTGATATACAGACCAGTGCAAAGATTCTACGTAATAATAGTCCTAAACTAGATGTTAAAATTTTGAAACATTGTTAAATAAAATTAAAAAAATCCCTGATATTGTTTATTTTTAATAAAACATTTATTTGTCCGAATACATTTAAACAAAAAAAAAAGAACTTCAATTAAATTTAATTTCTATAAACAAGTTAACTTAGTTATTTGTAGATATTTTTATACATAGTAAACTTAATGGCACTTTGCATGAAATTTAAATTTATATAGTTTATTTGATATAAGTATTAATTTTATTTGCTTATTAAAATTGAAATTTCAGCGAAATATTTAAGAATTATTTTAGTATAAAGTTTAAAACATTATTAAAATTTAAAAAATATTTTGATTACTAAACATTCATAATGCTAAATATTTTAGACATTTTGATAAAAATAGTCGAGTACCTGTTTATCCGATAATACTTCAAATATATGGAATTAGGAGTAAAAAATCTTATTTAAAACAAAAAGGAAACTGCATTGTCTGAAAAGATTTCAGATTAATAATTGATCCATAAATTAATTTGTGATGATCATAACTATTAATCAAATAACAAAATGAAATATAAAAACCTGTTCTTATGAAAAATTTGATTTTCTATAAACATGTTTTTATAATAAATCGATTTTCTAACTACAATCTCATGTAAAACTCGTGTAATAAATAAATGAATGATGTTTCTGTAGAATGTAGCATATGCTATAAACGCATGGAAAGATAGTTGCTTGTAAAGATTTTAAAACTAAGCCTATAAGTTCACTAATATAAATTTGGAATCTATATTTATTTGCTTGATAATTAACTTGAATTTTAATGCATATTAAAATTAAAATTCAGGTAGGTAATTTCTTCTTCTTCTTCTTGGGCACTACAGCCTATGACAGGCCAAGTTTTTGACATCTTGATCTACGGTAGGTCATTTAGTAGTTGTAATTTTAGCTTGTTGAATGTCGAGATAATTTCAGTTATATTATTTTAGTAATAGATTATTTCGGTGCGTTGTTTAAAACATAAGTACAAGTTTACCTCAATGGATAAATGATTAATAAAATTTACATTTTCTTAGAAACTAATGAATGTATTCCCATGTATATAACGAATTTTTTTAATTAGTCATCAGTCTTCTTTAATTTTTTATCTGCTTTTGAAGCATGTTGCTATTTGCATTTTTATTTTTTCTCGTTATTTCGCAATATATAACAATTTTAAAGTTAGAACTTTTAATAAAAATTACGAATAATTTTAATTGATTATTTTCCTAGAATTCAACCAATTTTTTAAATATTGACTAACATTAAAAAATTTTTACTTTGCATAATTTTTATTCAAAATTGTATCAAGCAATATTTTTTTAAAATATCGCTTGTATTGTTACAGCAGTGTTGTTCTAGAATTTTTTTTTAATTTGTTAAATGACATAGAAAATACAAAACTCATTTAAAAATGTTCTATTCAAATCTATCATGAACATTTTTTCTTAAATATTTATTTACATCCATTAATTATATTCCATTTACTTAGATTAATTTATAAGCAAGAGCTATCAATGTCGATATTTATAAACTATGCGAAGTTTTACGATAAACTTAAGGTGAACTTACAATAGGAGAACTTACAATATAAAACATATGATACTAATTTTATAACAACATCACGTAATAAAAGGAATAAATTTTTTTTAAATAAGTCATGTATAAGTTTGAAGCGAAACAGTGATTAATAAAAAGTTGAATTGACTCTTTAGTTAAGCTTATTAAAAGTGACCATGAAAATAAAGTCTAGTGTGTGTGTAAAATTTTAATAATATTGATTCGTAATTACAAAGATGTAGTTGATTCTCTTCTTAGTTTTATATTTTAGACCCGCAATTAAAAATGAAACAATGTATATGATTTAAATACAAACATAAAAATAACTAATAAGACGAATTTGAATTAAATTATTGAAGATAGTTCCGAAAAACTAAATAAAAACGAAAGATTTTAACATTAAATAATAACAAAATGTTGTTGAGTTGATCTTTTGACGTGATGATTTAAACAAAATTAAAGAAGCGATATTAACAAGATAAAGAAAGTTTCAAATGTAACATACAAGCAGAAAAAGTAGGCTCGTGAAAAAATTAATATTTCCAGCAACTCCAGAATTTCTCCTTTATAAAATTTAAATTCATCAATACAGTTTTTTTTTAGTAATCACCGTAATTTAACACAATTATGGTCCAATTTAATTTTGCATATTCATTTATTTTTAATATTTTGTGAAAAGTGCTTAAAATAAACTTTTCAAAATATTTTTGTGGATTTCATGTGTGGAAAGATCTGGAACTGATGATGTGAAAATTCTTAAGGGTGTTCTTCAGATCTCTTTTGTCCTAATAATACAAATGCTGAAGTTAGGGGACATTAAAACTCCATTAAGTATACTAAACAGCCAACAGGAAGCTCTTGCTGTCAATAGCTATAAAATAATATTGGTGGGTTAGCGAAGGTGCTCGCCCAATGGTAGCAACCTTCTTCCATCACTGAAAAAATAAAGGGCTATGTGATAAAAGTTCAAAAACTGCTAATATTTTTAGTAATAAAACTGATTTTGTAATTATTTAGTTCGAAATATATTAGACTATTTATACTCATTACAAAAATGCTGAAATAATAAAATTAAAAAATGGAAACATTGAACTACCTTATTTCGTGGAAAAACTTTTTTGTTACATAATAAATGGTGAACTAAGTCTAATAATCAGGTAACTGATTCTAATAGGATTAACCCGTTTCGTACCGGTGAAAAGAGAAAGAAGCGTTTTCACAGGTAATTTTATATGTAATACGAGAGTACCAAATTGAGATCACGTCCGTGTGATCATGGGCCGTTAGAGTCAGAAAGGCTTATCTCATATATGATACCGGGGCCCGTGAAGGAAAAATCGCTTGATCACGTCCATGTGATCACCGTCATAAATGAGTTTAATTTGAAATGTGCTTAGTGCGTCCCAATTAATAGACTTTTAAAGTTTGAAGCCAATGTGCAAAAATGAATGGGGCTAATTTTATTATAGTTTTAATTTGAGAACTTTTAATATTTTGATTAATAAACAGATAGACACAACAAAACGAAAAAAAAATATATATTGTATTTTTTATTTCGGCTAGATACAACAAATAAAAATATTACTATGAAAATTTAGAGTTTTATCTCAGTTCAACCTACAGAAGTTTATTGAAAAACACTATTAAAAGTGCCTAAAAGGGAAGTTTTATTGAATTTCTCAAATTTTCCTTCCTCTGTAAATTATATTTAAAACAAATTTTCTCTTTACTGTCTCAAAGAATATTTAAAGTTTCATGTTTTGTACCCATTTATTTAAAATTTTATTAATTTTTTCCTTAATAAGAAGCTTAGATTTAAAATATTGTAAAAATGTTTTTAATGTGATCTTTATGTGATCTGAAACCTTTAGAGTGATGGCTTTTAGTTTATGACCCACTGCACGTCAATTGATAATTAGCACAATTTATTGCAAGTAGAGGTGTTCCAAAATATTAGAAACTTTCGAAGTTTCATAAAATAATAACTCAAACTGACACTTTATAAATGAAAAAAAATGCTAATTGTATTTATATATCATATCAATAACAATAAGGCGGTGTTCTGTAATTTTTGTTCATTGATTTAAGAGAATTCAGTATTATTTTAGTTATTCGAGTTTTGTGCGAGCACCTATTTCGAGTCTGGACCATTTTAGAGTAAAATCACGCTGCTGTTCTTTAAAGCTTAATCTAGTTTCTATTGTTTTAGTGAATTGAGAAAAATCTAAAAAATTATGTGAAAATAGAAAAAAATATCAGAAGTTCAAGAAAAGAATAGACGAGTAACAATTTTTTAAAGAAGTTCTAGTATAGTTTAGACCACTTCTTGACAATTGGAACAAAACAATAAAATTCTGCAATTCAGTTTTATACAACGACTGATGCTATTGTCTTTTTGCTTGAATTTTTCAAAAAGTTCAGAAAAATTTTAGTCACTTTTTTTCCTAAGTTCTAAAGAGCTTTATAACCATCCAACATTTTCGTCTAATTCAGTAAAAGCATGCGCATTTCTTCTTTGAGTTAAGTATTTCGATAAATTTACTCTTTCATTTGCTTCGGGTGCCGAATGCCTTCGAGGTGAGGATTTTACATCATCGTTAATGCTCGAATCAAAGGCTGATATTAAAGTTTGAACTTTGGAACTTTCTTTCGTTGGAACTTCACTCGTAGAAAAGACAGACGATGAGCTAACGTCAGTATCCAAGTCAATGTATGCACTATCCCCTCTGCTTAGGGTGGCTTTTCGTGGATGGTACAATTTGTTACTGGTGTCATCAGGCATTGAATTTCGAGGTGTAACGCTGGCAGAAAATGTTCCGGGAACTTCTTCTTCAATTGATTCAATGTTACTAACACTATCATAATCTCTTCGTAGTACTTTATCACGGACAACTCGTCTTGCAGCTGCCGCAAATCTCTGAACACCTCTTGGTGTTGCAATTTCTTCTTCTTTGAAAACCTTTTCTCTTAGTTCTTTCAAACTTCCACTGTGCGTTGTAGTCCTCCCAATGTGGTTTTGTTTTGCACGAGCAGCATTAACGATAGCGTTCCAGTTCTTCTTTGCTTTTTCTCGTTTACCCGTTGTAAGTCGACGAATCAAACTGAATTTGGTTTTACGGCTGGTGTCTTTTATGAATGCTTCCATTACGGATTCAACTAAATCGATGTTGAAGTCTTTTAAAAGGCGACGCTCTCTTAATCGTTCCTTTCTACTCACTGAAATTAGAAAATTGAAATTTTGTTTAGAAATATTGATAAAAGTAACAAAATTATTACAACATTATTATTGCAACAAAATTATTACAAAATGACATAAAAAAGCGATTAATTTTGTTGACAAATATCACTCATATAAACACAAGCTCTTACAGTCCTGCCCAAATTATTAGACGCACTATAAGATTCTATGTTAAATCTTAATTATCAGGTGATACTATACAGCTTTATTGATATTACGCTACTGAAACCGGTTTGCACTAGTTTACGTTCGTAAATCAATTGGTTAAATTAGACGATATATAATATACATTTGACGATTGGATAAATTAAATGATATATTATATAAATATAGAATACTTATTATATCAGGTATTATATTAGTATATTATAATAATTAGGTGAAATTATTAGATACATTGTAGTTATTTAATAATTACATGTTTTGCACGAGTTTATATGCAATACTTTTATATTTAAAATTACATGTAATGGGATTTTATTCAGGAGATTTTTTTATATACTTCCTATTTGTATTTGTTTTCACCGTATTGCATTACAATGCTGACCAATTGATACACGAACGTAAAACAAGTGCAAGCCAGTTACATCCACGTAAAAACAATAAAGTTGTATCACCTGATAATTAAGATTTTACAAAGAATCTTATATTACGTCTAATAATCTAGCCAGTGACTGTAATATATGGTTTATATAAATACTTTTTTCGTGTATTTATAGAAATGCTTTGTATTTTATGAACTTTGAGGCATTTCTACGCTTGGATACGGTGATAAAATATTAATATTTTTTCTCTAAGTATTGTGTCTAACTAGCCTTGCTATATCGAAACCCTTAATCAAATGTTATCGTGATCAAATGGCTTTTCAATTAATCAGTTTTCAATGAAAATGCAGAATGTGATTCCTGAAATAAGTAAAATGTTAAAAAATAACTTCTTATTTCATACCATAATATTTCATATAATTTTTTTTTTCATACCATAAATTGCACGTTGAGCAAAAATTAAATCTAACAAAACTGATAAAATAAAGAATCACGAATTTGTCAACTTAAGTATCATTATAAACTTGACAAATATTGCACGATTCAAGAAAGCTCATATTGAAATTGACCATGCACATAAAATTAACAAAAAATAAATGAAAAGACTAAAAAAAAGTGAAAATGTTTTCTTCAAAAATCAGCGCAATAAAAAAAGCTTTTTTATATGGACTAAAAGTAAATTATGCCACGGGAAAAAATAATAGGGTTTTGCAAAATTTTTTCGGAAATAAATTTATTTAGTACTTATATTATTGTCATAATTCAATGAAATAAAACACTTTATTATCTTTTAGTATGATAGCCTTGCGATCGCTTAAACTTCTTTTGGATTTAATATGAGGATCTAATATTCATTTTTCCAATATGTCCTCGACAACCAATGAAATGTTCTGGGTAATATTGTTTGGATGTTATGGGGTGAGTTGCATAGCACAACAAGATAATATCATTCATCGAGCGTGTGCTCTGCAAAAGGATGAATGACAGGAAAGAAACAATATCAATATGTTCTCTATCTCCAGGTAAAGCAAATGCGGGTTAGTTTCATCAAAAAGTCCTCCACGAAGGCAAATTTCTCCCAATACTTCATCCAGAAATTCCCTTGTCTTCTGGATTGGATTCAAAATTACAAGGTTACGAAGTTGAATATTAATAGTCGTAGGTCCGAAAAATTGGGTCGGCTGTTCAACGACGGCTATAAAATGAAATATTAATATATAAGGGATGGTGGCTCAGCGTATGGATGGTGTTTTCTACACTAGGGAACGCTGCAAGCTCGGCACCGCCTAAATTTCCGGGTTACTGTTTCCGTTGTATTTTAAAGCCATTTGGCATCATTGTGTTTTGAGATTCTTGCAAACAATGTATTTGATTACTTATTACTTGTGTTTACAATGCTAACAATACTGATGTTTACAATGCCAAAAGTGTTAACACTAACGTAAGATGGTGCACAGCTTGCAACAAGAGCAAACAGTAATAAACTTATGGAAAGAGGCCATATCAAGACTGCCAAAAAAAGTTATTCAAAATCTAGCAACCATGTTACCTTTTTTAACAATATATCTCTAAAAAACTAAAACAAATTTTCACTTCAAACTCACCAGAATTACATATTAACATTAATATCTTATGAAATATGGCTGATTTGAGCTCAGAAATTATCTAATTTATTTATTTTATTGAAAACAAAATTATCCGTTTGAAAACATCGCCTATCAGAATAACAAGTAGTAAGCAGCTGCAAACTTTTTAACCGGAACTAGAGTAGGTGCCGAGCTCGAGATTGTCATTGTTTACGTTTCTATTGAAAACACCATCCATAGAGCGTTCGTCTTCCAATGAGGTGAACCGGGTTCAAATCCCAGCAATGGCTGGTCGATATAAATTCCGTATTCGGCTTGCACCGATCACAGTGCTGACGTGAAATATCCTCAGTGGTAGACGGATCATGGGTTAGAGTCCCTTTGTCATCAAGCTAACCGTGGGAAGTTCTAGTGGTCTTCCTCTCCATGTAACGTAAATACGGGTTAGTTTCATCAAAAAAGTCCTCCACAAAGGCAAATTTCACCCAATACTTGATCCAGGAGTTCAACCGTCTTCTGGATTGGGTTCAAAATTACAAGACTACGCAGTTGAACATTAGTAGTCGTGAACCCAAAAATTGGGTCGGCTGTTCAACGACGGTTATAAAATAAAATATTAATACATTCATGTTGTCAAATGCTGTCATGTTGTCACGTTGTGGAAAAAATGTCTTTTGTCCAATTGAAAGTAAGTTAAGTAAGTTAGTAAGATTAAAGAAAAATATGTAAATGTAATGTAATCAATGATTTAACACGGAATAACTTTTAAACTGTAATTCTGGGATACCTAATCCTGCTAAATTGTAATGTATCAAATCAGTTATTTAAAATATGCAGAGCTTACATTTTTAAACTTTCAGACAGTTGTAAATTGACTACTTATTTTTATTGTAAAATTAAATTAATATAATAGTTTTTTATAGTAATTTTGGTTAATTTAATTTCAAAAAGAATTGAGAAATAATTATGAAATCTTCATGATGAAGAATTTTTATAGTTTCTTTATAATTTTGAAACTCAAATTCTGATAATTAATAATGATCTGTTTATATTAACTAGTTATACATTTTAGAAGAAAACAAATTCTGTTGCAAAAAACTGCTTGGTGTATTTTTTCTTTAAAAAAAAGACGGTATTCATGAAGACAAATTCTGGGATTTTATCTTCGAGTAAAAATTGCCAAATTTAGTTTGAATAAATTGCAAACACATTTTAAAAGTATTATTTTTACTTACTGACTTCAGAAGCACTATTAACCCCTTTCATTCCATTAGTTTTCAAAATAGAAAATAATTCACTCCTAAAACTAGTGACTGCTTGTTTTACTTCATTAACATCATCTTCAGTAACACCAGTTTCTTCAGCTTTTCTTTGTTGAGTTGTCACATAACGTCTAATCAAGCACTTCATCACTGTCTGAAACAGAAAATATTTCCTATATTGATTTAATCTGTAACTAATTTTAACAACTTGTTTGTACAAGGAAACTCTTGTTTTATATTATTAAACCCTTCCTTCTCGCTCCCGTGAAAATGACGGGGTGAGGTTTCGCCCTCTATTTCTCGCTCCCACGATATTGACGGGCTGGTGTGTTCAGTAGTAACGCGTCAATAGGAATTAAACTAATTCATTTCTTATGCCGGGAAAACATTTTATTTCTCATTTTGCTCACCAGATGGCAGCACCAGGGTATTTTTAAGGTAATTGTAGATAGTTTATTTTAAACTAGATATCAGCACTAATCAAATACGTAATACAAATACGAAAGCCAAAAAAAATAGGCACTTTTATGACCGTTTTCTTGAAAATTTACCGATCGTTAAGGGGTTAAACGGAGAAATAATTTCGATTGTTTACAAAAACTAGTTCCCTTTTTAATTAAAATTATTATTGCGTGTATTATTATTACATTATTCTACATAGAAATTTTGTGAAACGAAAACTTAAAAAGGTTGAAATCTGTCTAAGATACAACATTCTCCATTGTTATGTTAAAATTTAATTTCTTAAAAAAAAAGTCAAAACTTGTGGCACTTAACTTACTAATATTTCCACTTAAACTGTAAAAAAAAATTTAGATATCCAGACGCATAAGTTTAAAAAGAGTTGTTTGTGCTAAGCTATTCATTTGCCGAAAAAAATGCATATTTGTGCGAGTTGAAGGAGCAGGAACAGTTACGCATATTCGTTATGAATAGCGTTGTAAATATTTCAAAGTTAAACAAAACTACTCCCACTATGACATTCAAAACTACTACATTTATCTTTTAATTATTTACTTTCAGGAATTTAATGGTTAAAAGGAAATCGGCTAATGGCCTTTTTCTTGAAGAAGCTTTAAAAACTGTTTGTTGACTATCATTATATTTACTTGAATGTAGGTTATTCAACTGGAATCTTCCTTTATTCTTTTCATAATTTAAATTTCTTAAAATTATTGTTCAATTGCTTATTTGCTGATGTTTAATATAAGGAAGGAACGGTATATAAAGGTATTATCTGAATAACTTTATGATACGAATATATTGTCTGTTTGTGAACAGAAATGATTGTCTGGAAAGAGGTTGTTCAAATATGATGTTATTGTTTGCTAATCATATGCTGGTATAACTTGATATCCTGGTAATGACAAAAAATAAAATTTAATTTCAGATCACTTGCGGGTAATTGTCAGGTAATAGGAAATTTTGTGTACTTGGGCAAACAATGTCAATTATAAAAGTCAGTCATGACTGTTTTGATGATTTAAAGAGATTTCTTTTCAAGTACTACTCTCTAGTACTACTCACTAGTTAAAAATCACAAATTTCAATATTAAAAGTTGTAGATAGATTTCAATATTAATAGTTGTAGAAAGTTGTCCTAAGTTTCAAACTTCAATATTTGAATCTTTATTGAAGAAAGAATGAGAAATTATCGAGGTAAATTTCATTTTTCTATATTTATTATTTTTTGAAGTTTAGGAAAGGAAGAAAAAATTCTATGGATCATAATGAGTTAAAATTTCTCCCTCGGAATATCTATATAGCTACATTTCCTCCCTACTAGACTGCGCTGTCAAAATTATCAAAGTGATGAAAATATAAGACTACGTATTTTGAGAAGCAGACTAAATTTTCATTAGTTAAAGTAAATAAAAGTTATTTTATTTTGTTGTTTTTGTTGCAAAATCATACTCATCGTATTTATTATGTATCGTAACAAAGTTCATTGTTACTGAAATAAATAATAAGTAAATTCAAGCTTGCTGAATGACAAAAACTACTAATACTGCCTTGAGACTACATTTAGAATAAGTATTAAATTTGCTTTATCTGTTCTAATTGATCCTTAAATAAACTTAACAGTAAAAATTTTATTTCCAAGGAATTTTGAAAACTTGGTATTGATGTTTATGAATATTACATAATTATTAAATTAAAATTTTCCGAAAGATTTATAAAGAGCTTTAGAGCAAAAATCAGAATCAATATTGCTTTTTTTTCTTTTTTTCTTTTCTTTTTCGCATAATTGAGCTCTACATAAAATTTTCATTTAAAATATGATTACTATGGTGTTTTGAAAAATGGTAATGATATCTATGGATAATACATATTTAATAAATTCAAATTTTTTGAAAGCTAAACAGGTCTTTAAAACAGTATTCAGAATAATTGTTGAAATAGATTTTTTTCTTAATTGAGGCATATATTGAAATTTACATTAAAAATATAATCACTAAAGAGTCTTAAAAATATTATAATGATGCCCAAGGATAATAAGATGCATAATTAATAAGTTTAAATTTTCTGAAAGATCAATATTCAAAATAAATATTGAACTAGGTTTTTTCATAATTGAGTCCTATATAAAACTAACATTAAAATATTATTACCAAGGTGTTTTGAAAAAATGGTAATGATGTCTAAGGGCAAAAATTAATTCATTTTAATTTTACTGGAAGGTTTTTAAAGAGCTTAGAATGATATTAAGAATAACTAACTTCCATTTTGTTTTAATTTAACCAAAAATAGTCTTAAAATTAAATTTGTCATTAAAATCGACATTTTTACTTGAGATATGAAGAAACTGACATCTTTGATAGTTTCTGAAAGCAAAATGTAGCCAAAGTTTCTCAAAGAATCTAAAAGTGTTGCCAAATACATCCCCAGCAAAAAGAGAGTGAATTTAAAAATAAAATATAAAATAATAATAATAATAGTTAAAGCTGTAATATGGGCAAGCGATCTTAGCAAATATTTTTTTCATGATAGTAGACATAAATACTAAAAATAAAATAAAATTAGCATTTAGAACAATAAGACTTCTTTAAAACCAATATTTCGCATCATCGGAAAAATACATTGATATAAATAGGTGTTCAATAATTATACTATCCATATCTAAATAGTTAGACATAGCAAAATTATAAATTACAGAATTTTTAGTTTGGCCCCAAAATTAGACTGATTAATTATATTAAAACAAATCAGTAAAAGCATAGACTTTTATCTTATATTATCCCCAATTAAGCCTACTTTAAAATTTATTAAACGTCTTTTTAAGTTATACTTTGTTTTTTTTTTTTTTTTGTGAGTTAATCAGCTCTAAAAATTTTCAAAATACTTCTTCATTTCATCTGATCAAATATTAAGTAATTGGTAACGTTTCCGATTTAAGAAGAAACAAATTCAATCTATGTTTCACTTTTAGTCAGGTGTTAGAGAAATATATCCATGCATTCTACAAAGGGACTTGTTGAATAAACTGATTCACCTATCCATGACCAACACGACTTATCAATAGTTATAATAGATATATAGAGTTACTAGGTGAAAAAGGAGTTTGTAGTTGAGAAAAGTGAAGCATTAATAATTTTTACTTTCTCTTTACTTTTTAAAAAATCCGCATTTATTACATATTTCATAAACAAATTTAGTTTGTGTTTTAATTACACTAAAAAACAACTTTATTTTTTTGCTGCATCAAATCTTTCCTAACTATAGTTTCTTTAATATGACATTTTTAGTCTATTTTTTGTCTAAATGTACAAGTTTTAAACCGTTATATATAACAAAGTATCACGTAAATGTGACCACTAACTTCTAGAGGAATTAATGTACAGCATCAGGATTAAAACTGCATAAGAACTCATGCCCGAAAATACCATCATATGCCACTAGGGTACTTCTCTATTATAAACTGTATCTTCGTTTGCTTCAAAACAAGTCGTAATAGAGAAGCACCCCTAATTGCGTACGACGACATTTCCGGGCATAATTTCCGACGCAATTTCAATCCTGATGATTTACCCTAATTCCCCTAAAAAATAATCAGAACATTTATGCAACTCCTTGTTCTGTTTAACTTTGTAAACTTGCACATTTTTACTAAAAATACCCTAAAAACTTCTGTTGCCTTAAGAGCAAAACTATTTTGAAGTTTAAAACCCCCACATCCAAGTTAGACAAGATCAAGTATTTGTACAAATACAGCAAAAAATTTGTTCTCCAGTGGTATCCATAACTCTTAGCAGTCATAGATATTTTGCTTTTCACGAAAACAAGCTAAAAAAGGAAGTAATTTTGCAACCAGTTTTTTCTCCTCTTTTATAATAAGTTACAGCCTGTAGAATCAGAATTTTAGAATATGATTTAAAACAAAACATTTTTAGGGAACCATTTAATATTAATTTCGAATTTCTTAATTACATTGCAACCATTAAAAGCAATGTATTGAGTGAAAAATCCATTAACATTTCTATGAAAGGCAAGGTTCGAATGAACAAAAATATTTCATCAAAAATTTTCTCACCCTGTAAACTGCATCTCTTTCAAGTCCTTCTTTAAACTAGAAAAAGAAAGAAAAACAAATTGGATTTCAAAAACATTATAGTTTCAAATAATGCATTTTTGAAGCAGTTATAAAGCATTTAATTAATTTCTGTCTGTGGTATTTGAAATTTTTTGAACAGAACATAAAAGATTATCAGTTTCTTAAGTTTAACTGTTGAATCGAAAATAGGACAAATTTAATCAAAACTTTTGAAAAGATTATTTCAAAAATATTGCACACATAATTTACAGCAAGTGTATTTTTCTATATCACTTCCTTTATTATTTACTAACTATATTAGTAACTCAAAGTAGAAAAAGAGTTCTATATTTGTATCATGAAAAGTAATAGAATGTGTGTGATGATAAATGCTATAAAATATTGAACCTGTGAATTAAATGAAAATAATTATCATATTAATTCCTTATTAATACTTTTGTGAGTAAGTTATGTGTTCAACTGGTTTCAAATTCACACTATTTTAATCCTTATACCGGACCAATTTATTTTTGGTATGACTTTTCAGAGAAATTTCAGCAATCTGAAAATATTAAAATTTTGAATTATGCATAAAATTCTATGATATTACATACATAGCATTACAACATACTGTATTTTATGATATTAGACTAGCTTCTTTTTACAATGATGGAAAAAAATATAAATGTTTGTATCTATCAATGAATAACATTTTCAACTAAGTATTAAATTCCATGTTAGTTCCATTACAGACATTAAAAAAATTGCTTCTATAACTCAACAGAACTTTGAAGGAAAAAATATGCAAAATATGATAAAACCAATTCTTACCAATACTAATACTTACTTACCATACAAATAATTAAGCTAATTTTCCTTCATAAAAATAATTGCTTGATCAATACACTGTTAGAATTTTCATTCTAAAATGAGGTTAAAATAATCGGCAGCAGTTTGTCCACCCGATTAACAATAAAGCTTAAGGTGAAGAACATTTCCTACCTTTGCGTTTTTGAAACCGTTTACAACTAGTATGGTTATAAAACTATGACTTAAAAACTATATGATTTTAGCCATTTACAACTAGCATGGTTCCAAAGTCATAAAAAAGACTTTTAGCTGGACATAGGAGTTAGGCTTTTCCTTAGATAATGGACATTGAGGAGTGCAAGACACTGGAAACTACTTATGTGTGGAAGGGAATGGAGGAAATATTGTGATGTCAACGCTGGTACTCGAACATCAGCTCTGTCGATCATGATGCTGACAGATTAGTCCTCTCGGTTATAATATGTTCCAAGGAACTAAATGGCGTCATTAGGTGGGCTTAGTAGGTGCGATAAAATTCTGGTTGTTTAACCGTATTAGGTGAAAGCAGTTAATAAACGATTTTCTCACAGTTAACAGTTTCATTACCTTCTTATTTATGGTGATTAAACTGTTTTGTTTGAATATGGTAAAATAACAATTAAATAAATTGTTATTTAACCATTTTTTACCAGGAAATTTCTAACAATATCTACCGAATCACTAATTTGTGTTGTTAAGTCTTTTTATAAAATGATTACCCTCACAATTACTTCGAGATTTGTGGTGATATTCAACATTGAAAGAACGTATTGAAATACAGACAGAGCTAATAGATGGTGGTCGAAAATGAGATAGAACAGATTATTGATTATTTTAGTTTATTTATATAAGGGTCATTCTTCGGAAATATGTACTTTAAAGTTCATGAAATTGAAAAAAAAAATGAGCGTTAATTGCGATTTCTAATAATGTTTTGATTTATAATTATACTAAGAGCAAGAAAAAATATTTCAAGCAATAATCATTTTTAATAGCTAATTTTCTAGAATCATTCCCTAAATTTATTTATTAGTAATAAAGGGACAAATTAATTAGCATTTAAAAGTAGTAGTAAGGCTTAAGTGGATTTTATTAAAACAATTATATACAAATATGTTCAACTTAAAATTATTCATTTTAGGTATCATTTTATTTTATTTTATTTTAAAACTAAGCCACAAGCAAATGATAAATATAGCAAAATGTTAATTTCTTTGATGTATTCTACTGTTAAAGTTTCTGTGATTAAGTTTAAAACATGCTGCAATGTTTTTCTATGTTGGTGTTTGTAAATCATTAGAATTTTTTTAATAGCTTTAATTCTGTGATAATTTTGGAGATTTAAAATAATGCTGTGGAAATATTTGTGTTATCCAAAATTAAATTTAAAATTCTTTTTCTGAATTCGATTTTTTAATATTTTTAAACGAAAAATACAAATTTCAAAATTTATTGCTTACTTTCAGAGAAAAAATTTTGTCTTATTTTAATTCATCAGTAGTGGCAACTGAGGGAATGATATGTAGGTAAATTATAGTTACATAAAATAATGAAAAACAGTAAAAAGGAAAATTTTATTTTTATTTCATATTTTAACGATACTTTCCAGCTAAAAAGAATGTACATAAATCATTAAACAAGCATATAGTACAGAAGGCGGTTTGAAAGTGACTTTTTATGAGAATTCTCATATATTAAAATCAAGCTCATAAATTAAAACAATTTAATCCTTGATACAAAGGCTTGGTAATTAAAGATTATTACTGGTCCGCATGCATTTTCACTAGTCAGTTTGCATGCTTCCATTAGATCTTTTTTTTAAAAAAAAATTAATTAATTTAAAGAAAATAAAATTCAAAGAAAAATTTCAATACAGAGAATGTGCAACGTTCACAATTATGAAGAAATATGCATTGTTGGGAAAACCAAAACAGAAAATTAAAATTCAAAGAAACCGAAACAGCATATCATTCCTTAACTGGTTCGGAGAATCACTGACAATTTGCTTAATGGTGGTTTGAGACAAACTTTAATGATGTCGGATAGATAGACAAACATTAATTTCAAACCCTGATTAAATTGCATTGATAATGAATAAATTAAAATTGGGAAATATGTTCTTTATAATAATTATCATATTTTTACTTTGATTGAATGAGAGGCTGGTTTCTTCTTGCAAGCCAAAAACCTTCCAAAAAATTTAGGAGTAGGAAAAACGTTGAAAGGCGGTGGAACTGTTGATCCATCTTCAAAATAACTCATCCAAAGTTTACTTCTTGCGAATTTCCACTCAACATCTGATCGTTCCTAACAAAGAGTTTATCAAATAAATAAGTTAGATGACATATATGCCAAAGGACGTTTGAAATAGAAAAGCCAAAATGAGAACAGTTTTACACAAATTCTTAATGACATTTGAATTATTGGTCTAATCGCATTTGGTTTGATTGCATTCGGCTCATCGTAAAAATATAAATCAGATACAATACCTATTTACCTATATAATAAAATTTTAAGTTTCAATCCCTTTCCTTTTGATTACCATCCATCAGTTAATTCAAGAAGTCGGCTAAAGCTCACTACGGTGAAAGGGATAAAATCTTCAGATATCAAAATTCCCAATCTGCAACTTTCAATACAATTTCCAGCCTTCTTATGTACTTTTTGTAAATAGAATAGGCGTCCCTAAGATGGACGACTCCCCACCCCACACTTTTCACCTCTCCATTACCATGGTTTCGGCAAAATATAGCTTTTTTTCTCACTCAAGTTGGTATCAGTAAGAAATTTTAATATACCTGGAGAGGAAAAAAAGCTGCATTTGCCGAAACCATAGCAACATAGAGATGAAAAGTTTGGAGAGAGAGGAAATTTCGCAACCTTGATACGCCTATTCTATTATTTTAATTTTATTAAATGTATAAATATAACCACATTTGATTACTTAGAAAAAAACCTAACATATAATTGTGAAAAGATTTAGTTTAACAAGATATGATAGAGGATCTTTAAGATGCTTTATGATATGAAACTGCCCCACAAACAAATAAAAAAAAACTGTTTTTTCTTACAAAAGTGTTTTAGCTAGTATATTTTTTTTTAAACTTAGCTCATAAATTTTTTAAAAAATTCCAGTAATGATTTCATTTATAATTAAAAAGTTATACATTTCAATTGTATACATTTCAATTGTAGGAAAGGTCACGTACGATAAGGCATAGCGTATACATATTTTCAATAAATAATTCTAAACAAGCTATTAAATTTCGTAAAAATTACGAGCTATTAAGTGATTTGTTGGTCTGAAATTTCTTATTCAGTTTTGTTTTATTAAAAGTATTTACATCTTATATATGGAAAAAGTGAAAGCTTTATTTAAAAAGTGTTAAGCCCTTTATAGTAACTAATTGTTAAATGGAGACAGTTTTTGAGAATGAGATGTCTTAAGAGATGCTTTATGACATACTCTAGTAAAAAATTAAATTTTAATTATTAATTAAAAACAGTTATTAATTAATTTAATTATTAAGTGAAAGTTATTAAATAATAATTCATTTAATTATTTAGTCAATTTTAATTATTAATTAAAAACAATTAATAATCAAAAATATTAATAGAATTCTACTTTTGTAATTGAGGATAGGTATTTAATCATGACATGTTTGTTTCAAAAATTTGCAATAGATGTATATAAATATAGATATTAAACAAAATTTAAGACAAGTATTCTTAAATACTCAGTTTTAATGTGATATATTAGTTATTTCAAAAACAAAAACAAAAAAAAGCATAAATGCGTAAAAAATAACTAAATTATACTTACTGAAATAATTTGATACGAACTACTCATCATGGCAATCAGTAAGTTGAGAAGAACAACAACATTTATTACTGAATATGAACCAAACATTAATAAACTCCAGAAACGTGTGTAACTTTTGATGCCAGTGAGCTCAAAATTTTCTAATTCAATTAATCCAAAACTCGCCCAAAATAAGCTCTGAGATGTTTCAAATAGACTGAAAAGAATCACACAAAAAAAAAATTTTACCAAAAATTTCTATTTTAAAATTGAAGTGATTGGTTCAAAAATCAATTCAAACCAGTTCCATAAAAAGTAATATTATTATTATTACTTTTATTATTTTAGATTTTGATTCAATTTGTTAAAAATATTAAGTACCGGGATTAAATAAGATTTTAAAAATTTATTCAAGTGCATTTGATAAACTCCAGAAATGTGTGTAACTTTTGATGCCAGTAAGCTCAAAATTTTTTAATTCAACTAATCCAAAACTCGCCCAAAATAAGCTCTGAGATGTTTCAAATAGACTGAAAAGAAACAAAAAAATCTTTACCAAAAATTTCAGTTTTAAAATTGAAGTGATTGGTTCAAAAATCAATTCAAACCAGTTCCAAAAAAAGTAATATTTTTTTTTTTTTGGTTGAGTTTTTGAATCAATTTGTTTAAAAAGATTAAGTATCGGGATTATATAAGAGTTGAAAAAAATTATATTCAAGAGTATTTGAGAACTTAATGCCTCTGTTCTTTTATTTTCGAGTTTACTACTTGAAACATTCTGACAGATTCTAGCAAAGCTTCATTTGAGTCTTAATCATGTTTTTTGTTTTAATAAATGTACTAATGCTTTTAATACAATTAAACATTTTTGGAGAAAGAATGTAAGATTTATAGCAATAAATATTTAAATAAGTTGTAAAATCAAAATTTATTTCGAATGCATGAACAAACGATAGAAAATTTTCTTTTCTTGTAGAAAGAAAGAAGATTACATTATTGATTCCATTGAAGTATAAATTATTTTTCTGCACACTCTGAACACTTTTTCAAACACTGAAAATTGAAAATAATAATAAAGAAGGAATTATATTAGAGTCGACAGATTTTTATACGTTATTCTTGCATACAGAGTACTTCTTTCTCGATTAGCGTAACTTTTACATATTGAGAGTTTCGGAAAGACCACCCTTTACACATCTAATATCTGTATAAAAAATGAAAACAAAAATTGTACACTTGGATCGCAAATTAAAATGCAATCAAGGAAAAAAATAAAAATGCTATCGAATTTTCAGAAAAGAAAATTTACAAAAGAATTTAACAAAGAAAATTAACAAAAGAGAAAGGCAGATGTAATAAAATCAAACCAGGTTCAATTGATGGTTGAAACTTGAAAGTGTTTCTAATAATCGTCTTTCAACTCTACTCTGTTTCTTCTCAAAATCTAACCAGTCTTGTTTCTTAAATTTGCGTTCCAGTAGTGTGATTTGTCATATTTCGATCGTATTTTTGTTCCTTTCCCAATTAAATAATTATTTGCAAATCTCAATGTGTATACAATTTAGTTCTTATTTTGATAAGAATTTGAAAAATATATATTAAGGGCATTCATTGCAAAGCACTCTGCTTATTTAGCAAAGCAACAAGACCATATTTTAGTAAAATCACTTATTTTTGATTAAGTTGATCCACATAGTTCCTTCTTTAATTTTATATATTAAACAATAAAGTAATTGCTTACTTTGCAAATCTTCTCCATATAAGGCATGATTGTTCATAATTACTATTCATAGATCCATTAGGACCACTATAACAAAGCTCTTTGTCTATATCTGAGTAATACCACAATAATTGATTCATTCCACATCCAAATGCAAAGAGTACTAATGAGTAAATAAAAAAGAATTTGATGATATCAAAAACCATTCTTCCTAATGATATTTGCAGTGGTCCTAAATGTGGGTTCACGGAAAAGATATGAACCATTTTCAAGAAGCTAAAAGAGACAACATGCATTAAAAAAATATTAATTAAAAAGAAAATTAATGAAATATCAATATTTGTTCATTTTAAAATCAATGGTTATTTATTATTAACCGAATTTAAAAGGCTAATTTCTGATTTTAGCTCCTTTATTTGAGTTACTCCAATAAATAAGTATCGAAGATATATAATGTATTAAAGAAATTCTAAAAACATAATTAATAAAAATAGTTAACCATCAAACGTACGATTTAGAAAGTTTATCCCTTTCTGACGCGTTTCTTTTTGGCAATTATTATTATCAAAAATAATTGTGTTAATTGGATTTAAATATCTCAGAAAAGAAGTTTTTCAACTTTTATTTCTGAACAAGTTAATGTCTGCTGGTATACCTTCTATTATATTTACTTGATTTTTAAAAAATGGTCAAAATGTTCTTAAATGGTTAAAGTTTTAACCAATTAAATATTTTCAAAATTGCAATCATGCAAAAAGGAATTAAGTTTTAAACTTTTTCAGTAGAGGCTTCATTCCTACCTGCAGTTTTTTAAGGAATTGTTTTATATTAAACTAAATTATTTATAGCTTCTTATTTCACAAAAATATGAAAGTTTATTCTGTTTCTTAAAATTTCTTTAAAATTGCTCATGAATAAGAAAGTTTAATATATATTCTTAGAAGTTTTCTGTCGTCGTAAAGAAATTTATTTAATAATATTGTTTCAAATTGTTTTGAAAACGAAACGGATATCCTATTTCGATGCATTGGAAACGCGAGCTAATATACTTTCGATATGTTGTGAATTCGATATATTATATTCATTTGTTTAGTACGTATCTTTTTTTCCCCCTCTCTCTATATACTTTTTCCTCTCAATATATTTTTTCCCTGAACTAATGATACTGTTATTTTACATTGAAAAAAAATATGCATTATTGGGGAAAAAATGTAAAATTGATTATATGAAAACTGAAAAGAAAAATATGTTTTGGAAGGAAAATATATTATTTTCTCAAAAAAGAAGGTAATGCAAAACTATTTTACTGGCGCCATCTATAGGTATTTATATGTGTAAGAACTTACTTTATATAAAAAAAAAAACATCTCAAACAATTTGTATTGGTTTTCTTTTTTTTTTAAATCGTAGAGCTAGAAATTTAGTTTTAATACAAAATATTTTGTGTAAAATTTAAAAAAAAAGATCTTAAAATTTAATTACATTTTTTTTAAATTTTTTATTTATTTTATTTTTTCATTATGTAACCTCTTGGAACACTCATTTCGCCAGATATGTTAATATTCGTTAAAGTAACAAATAATGTATATTATTTATTTTTTCGCAGTCGTGATAAAAACTGATCTTTGCCGACGTTAAACTTTTTTTTCTTCAAATTCAAATAAGAATTTTCGAGATTGCGACATTTTACATTAAATCAAATCATTATCTTTGCCTTTTTACCATCAAATGATTTTTAGTTCATCATAGTACAGTATTGTATGAATTTTTTAACAATTAAAAGAGATAAATGCTAAAATTACATGGTGTGGAATGCATCGCTCAAACTTATTTAAATGTGCTGCACTTATGTACGCAGAGAAATTTTAGCAGAATCCCAATGCTTCCCCCTCCTAAATTTTTTTTTAATTAATTCGATTAATTTTCGATTTTGAAGACTCCGTAAGTGTTAACAAAAATCTAATAAGAACCTTCAAAAATAAAACTGTACTTGAAGTTTATAAATATGTTAGAAACTAAAATTGCGCAAAAAAATAATTTATATATTTTAGCTCATTTAAATACTCTATCAATAGAAATAAATACTAAAAATATGTCAACAACTCACACACATATACTAACAACTCATCAAGATTTACCAATGATTACAAACTGAAATACTATCAAAGCATAAAAAATTTAGCAAAGGAGTCTAGACTGAAAAATTATAGACATACATCAATATATTTATAGAGATATAGAGAGGTTGATCAAAATAATGAAAACACACACTTCTATACTCACTCTATTTAGTCAATTTCTTCTTCTAGCAGCAAATGTTCTGGATGATTTTGTTGCAAAACTGTTTGCACTATTCGAAAGTTCATGCTTGAAGTTTTAAGAAATAGCAACCTGCAACCATGCAAAATATGCATCTAACAAAATAAGCGTAGGAAATAAAAAACTGATTTCCTTTCCGAATATCACTATAATTTAAAAAGCCTTCTTGTGTAAATCTCGCAATCCGATAGATTGATTTTAAAATTGCTGATATTAAGACTAGAAAAAGTAATTAACTTCCAATACTCATTTTGGTCAATCCGAACTTTGCATTTGTAAAAATAACATCATTTCTGAAAGTTTCAAGCATGATCTTTCAAATTGCACCAACAGTTTTGCCATATAAAATCTTCTAAAGCATTTGTTGCTAAAAGAAATTTTTTTTGCATAAAATTAGTGTAGAAGTGTTTTCCATTATTTTGATCATCACCCCATACATACTTATAGTAATATAATGTTACCTAAATATATTTGCAGCACCAAAAATACCCTCAGATATTAGCATTGGGTCGTAGGGATCCCAATCTTCCCGTGGTATATAAGCATGAATTCCACGTGAAACTTCTCGCCGAACCTTATAAAGAGTAAATGTATTGAATACATTAAATATATCAATCGTACAATCAAAAAGAAAAGTTGAGAAATATGAATGAATTCAAAACTCTTACATTTAGAAGAATAAACACATCTTTGCATAGTTATGCATCTTAATTTACTTGAAACTTTACTATTTACTTGATGTTTAATTAATTTAGCTACCAAATATCAAATAAAATGCTTATACAATCGAATCTCAAAACATAGTAATTCTTGACGCTAGCGATGAAGAAAGAAATTAGGATTTGTAATAATTTAGGGAAATACATCAAACAGCAGATTTGATGTTTACGCTTGTGGTGTTGTTCCAAAAAATGGTAACAGAAGTTGAAGACGTGCCGATGTCGAGAGTGAAATGGAACTACAACCAGTGCCAACTTTTGAGAAAGATCTCTCAGCCTTTGAAACAATAAGAAACTTTCTACATTCGCGCGCACTTGCAGAATATGAACAGCAATCGGTTACAATTGTTGCTTGTTTGCGCCGAAAAAAAGAGAGTGTTCAAACTAAAATTTGCAAAATAATTTAAATAAATAAAAGTGTTATCTATCTTTCGTTTGCATTATAAATATTTATCTGTGAGAAAATCAGCGCACCAAGAAGGAGTCGTCAAAATGAAACGAAATTTTACATACGTAATGACTACTTTGTTATAAGTAAATGATTAGAAAATCAAAGAAAAACGATAGTCTTTAATTGTTTTAAGAGAAAAGGGGGATAAACACAATTTTCTATAACTGCTTTCAAAGAAATAATGATAAACCTTCTTTTCTATCAGTTTTTTAAAAATAATGATAAATACCAATTGTAAGAGTTTTTTCGTTATTTCATGTAACTACTTTTTCATTGCTCATTATTACTATTTTCTTTTAAAATGTTTTTTAAAGGAGAGGGGTATTTAAACCAGTTCATTTTTTGCAGCTTTTTTTAAATTGCATGCTATTTTAATCGATTGTTTTTTTTTAAAATAAGATAAACATTTGATAAGATACTACTACTTTCTCGAAAAGTAAATGTGATTATGCATTAATTTATAAGAAATAATTTTTTTTCTTCCTAATTTTTCAAAATAATTAATTGCATCGCTGTAAATAAATTAATCAAATTTTTAAAGAGTAATATTGATGTGAAATTTTCCCGCGTTTATATAATTTGATAAATTAGTGCATTCATGGTAAAAATATCTCTTTGAAGTATCCCTTAAATTATATTTAATTCAGAAAACCGAAACCGTTATACTCTATACATAAATCAATTATGCTTCAATTAAAAATAATCATGTTTGTTCTGAAAAAGCTAAGAAGTGCTTGTAAGAAAAATATTATCTCAGGTTGACAGAAAAATGCTTTTAACGAAGCCGTACAAAAACGTTTAGTATTGATTTTTTGTTAGTTCCACGTGCTTTCTTTTCATTTTCTTATTCTTGTGAAGGAGTATTTCTTGTATAAGCTATTATAATGATTTATTTGCTTAACTTATTCTTTAGTACTAGCTTTAAATTTTATTTCCTATTCTCTAAACACACATCTTATACTAATAATCTACAATAACAAATTATTCATTTTATTACTTTACTTTTTTTTTTTCGTTTACCACCCTTCACTGAATCTACATATAAATTACGTCTCATTTCGTACACATAAGTACCTTCCATTAAATTACATACATGAAAAAAATAAGTTTCAGATATTATTGGTACAATCATAATGATTCTCAAATCAATTTAATTCCAATATTTGTTCCGTCTACAATCTAAAAAGCGATATTTACTTGAAGTTTTATAAAATTGAATGAAATTGATACTTTTTGGAAAACTGAATGAAGTAGGATTTCTGCATTTTAGGAAAGTTAAGAATATTATTTTATTATGCATTTTTAAACGAATTGGTAGTAAAAATATTGAACATATGAGAAATTTGAGTTTGGTACTGGAGCAAAGGTGGGAGCATTACAAAGATTTAAACTTAAATTTGAGTTCTAATTTAAGTTTAAATTTAAATAACATGAAAATTTTTTGTTCGCAGTTAAAATTCCGTTTAGTTAAAAGAATTTATATAAAGTTTATATAAGTTAATATAAGTTGAAAACTTTATATTAGTCAATAAAGTTATATAAGTTTTATAACGTTTCCTTAAAATATTATTTTTCTTTCCAAAAGGCTGAGTAATTTGATCTGAGCTAACACTGAAATTTTTTTTTATAGTTTTCTGATGTTTCAAAGTAGAAATAGGAAGTTAATAGACATTTTAGTTATTTCTAATTCCTTAGGAATTTTAAGCGTGATTATCTAGTTCGTGTCATTCTGTCTGTTCGTATTAATTTTGTGAAGGAAAAAAAGGCTTTTTTTTTCAATCTTTAAATTCATAAATGCATTTATATAATCTTTATATAATCTTTGTATGATCCCCCCCAAAAAAGAAAATTAATGAAAGTGAAACGGAAGAACTGTACGATTTGCTATGTTCTAAGAAATAAACCAGTTTTATTCTCCTTGAATTTCAAAAAAAGTTACGAATTTCTCTAACAGATGGCTCTGCTGATGAAATACTTATAAACTTTGTTTTCTGCAACATTTCGAAAGATCCAACAGAAATATTTACTGAGGTGTCTGCAAATTTCACCCTAACCACAATGTTGACGCAAACTGTCTGTTGCAATGTAAGAATTGTCATTCTAAAATTACTGTAAAATTTTTACGCTTACTACTGCCGGCTATTAACCCTGTTCATCCAATTAACTGTAAAGTTTACGGTTCGGAGCATTTCTTTACCTTTGCAATTTTGAAATTGTTTGCAACTGGTAGGGGTAAGAAAATGTAAATATAAATCTATACTGTTTTGTGACCATTTGCAACTAGCATAGTTTCAGAACAGTAAAAATAAAATTTTAGCTAGACATTGGAGTTAGATTATGTTAGGCTTTTCGTTAGGTAATTTATATTGCAGTTAGGCTGAGAGATTGTAGTTGAGTTATGTTTTGCTAAGAGAACAGTGGAATGTGGCTTAATTTGTTTACCTAGTGTTGCCATCTATCGTGACTGAAGAGAAATACTAGACTCTTTGTGCTAAGCAGCTCTATGGTGTGATTGAGTGTTCCGCATTCCAATAGTTTAAGGTCATCAATTAAGGATAGCAGATCGCTGGAAACTTCTCATGTATTTTAAGTATGAAGGAAATATTGTAGTGTCGAAACTGGAATTCGAACCCCCGTTCAGTTGGTCATGAGATTGACAAATTAGCTCTTTCAGTAAAAAGTATGTATCCAGCTGCAAGGAAGTAAGTGTATTCATAAGGTCTTCACCACCCACTTAACCCTATAAGATTATTAAGCATACCCTGTTGTCGTGCTAGGCATCAAGAGATTTAATTTTTATCACATGTCTTAGCTTCGAGCTTTAGAGGAAAATGCTCTCGATTCTCAATGGCTATGGGCCTAGTTTACACGGATAAAATTCTGTTTGTTTAACCGTATTAGAGAAAAACAGTCAATACACGATTTTTCTCACAGTTAACAGTTTGAATACTACCTTTTTTATAATATTTGACTGATTTGATAGTGGTCAATTAATTATCGCTTCCCAGCAATATCTGACAGCGTTTTCATTACAAAAACATTGTTTTATAACATTTCTTAGCAGTGCCATCTGTTGTCCAGTCTGTTGGATAATTTTGAAACTTGCTGATATTTAACCTTCTGGTTTCCTATGCAGAACGCAGTAAACCGTACACTACCTCCCATGGCTTCTTCATATTTGCTTTTATAAATCATCGATCATTTAAGGGATATCCTATTTAGATTTAAATGCAAAGAAGAAAGTGATATCCATATGATTTTTATCGAGTTCTAGAGATTGGTTTATTTGTTTGGGAGATAAAATAAATTTGAGAGCTTTACGAATTCTATTCAAGTTGTTAAGAAAGAGAATAAAATATAGATACAAAAAATTATCTTTACTATTATCCAAGCTGAAAACCTTAAGCCTATGCAAGTGAGGTAAAGCATATTTGTGAAAAAGTCAGCCACGTTCCACATGTCCAATAGATAATCTTTTAATCCAGCTTCCCAAAGTTGCTTTATTTCTGCCCATACAAAACCTGAAAAATATTTAAATTTTTTTAATCTTTTTTTATTGAAAATTTATTTTATTTAATGCATTGCACAAACTACGTAGATTATGCAAATGCACAATAAAGTAAAAAAAATTATGAACATAGAAATGAAAGACATTTGTTTTAAAAACATATGTTATTTCAAAGCTAAATCTTAACAGTTGAAATGGTGTATTTTAAAATATAATATTTAACTTTTTACCTATCCCCAACGAGAAAAAGATTCCTAAAGATATTGAGAAACATATTCGAAACTTTTTTTAGCTGCTGTAAAATAATGATTTTAGATATTCTGACAATATTATGCGGCTTAAGATGGGAGTAAACTGAAATTGGTTGAATTTATTGATCCTAAGCATATTTCAATTGTAGTGAGAGTATGTGTAAAGTTGCAACATTGTTTAGCAAAATACAGCTATCAAGACAGGAATCGTTTATTATAGAAAAAAATTGCTTAAACTTCCTTAATGGAATTTACAATTATATCGATTCCTGAAGTTCCTCTCTGGTTTGACACTTCTGAATTGGAAGAACTATTCTGGCTTCAATTTCAATGAATTATCCCGGACTTTTTGTCGAATCTCGTTTCTGAAATCACGCTTTTTCAGCATCGATAGCGCACTCTTGTGAGGTCTGTTACTGAAAAAACATTTTCCAGTTCTGGTTGCTACATTATGGAATAATTAAGAAACTCTCTTCGGTTTATTTAGTTTCATAGTTTCATACTCTTTCGAACCAACTTGGAACGCTAAGAAGTGAAATCTTTTAGTTTTTGAAAACACGCTGCTACTGTTAACTACTAAATACGCTTTTAATGCAAAAACATGACATTTTAATTTAGGTTTCTGTTTCCATGTTGTATTAGAGAAAATGTTTTTTGTATATGTTAAGAAGACAGCTATTTATTTTCGCTGAGAAGTATTTGCTTAAAAAATTAACGTAACTGGTGAGTGAATGATACTTGGATAACTTTTTTCATTTACTTATTAGTTATTAATTGCTGTTTAAATTGAAAACGAAATAGCTTCACTATTCTAATAAAAATCTTGAATTTTCTAAGAATATGCTAAAGGAGTTCTAGAAAGAAAAAAAGTGCCTTTAAACTCAATTCCATCTTCTATTTTCTAAAAGTGCTTTGCTTTTATTAGCTATAAAAATGACAGTTATAAAACAAAACATTGCATAGCAGAATGAATGAAATAAAAGGGAAAAAGTAAAATCCACCTTTATTCTTTTTCTAGTCTACTTAAGTTATTAGGTAAAACTGAGCAATAAATGTTTATTTACCTATCACAAAAAGAACTATTGCAGATTCAACTATTCCGGGAGGCTTTCCACGCTCGTGTTCTCTAGTATATTGTAAAATTTCTCTAAGATATTCTGTTCCAATCCATTCCATAGCTAATGTTTCTACTCTTTGAGATGCCATGATTAAAAGCACTAATAAAGTCAAAATAATTTCCTTAATAGATATTTGATAATAAAAGAGTATTTGTCTGGAACATATTTCGCAAACATGGTTAGTTCAATTTTTTTTTTTTTTTTTTTTTTTTTTTAACAATTTTTTCTTGGNTTTTTTTCTTTTTTTTTTTTTTTTTTTTTTTTTTGTTAAACAATTTTTTCTTGGGGCGTTCAATAGACAAAAAGCCATGTATTAGTATGAATATCTAACTCTGAAATAGTACTTGCAAAGTTTGGAAGTAAAATTTAGTTGCCTGTAAAGAATTCTTTGACAAAGAGAGCGCTAGATGGTGCATATAGTCTGCTGAAGTCAACAAACAAATGACACGCAATCAGCACGATAATGATCAATGGCTAATTCAACCAAAATTATTATTAGGAAATTCAAGTGGAAAATCTTCTATCTTATATTACAATTTGCTTTTGTTCCCGTATAATATGACTGTATTTGGTAGGTCAGAGATTGAAACAAGTGGTTCCAAATAGTTCTCAAAACAATCTACTGCGACCATGCTTTTGACTGAAACTCATGCCATTATTATAAATGCCTCAATAATGACAGTAAATACTTTTGACTTGATTATAATTTTCACAGTATCAATGAAATCTTATTGTCTATGGCTTTTGGCTCCCTAGTTATTGATCACCCTACATACAGGGTGTCCTAAATTAGACAGATAGCTTTCAAATATTTCAGCACAGGAAAAGTTTAATTTTTAAAATAAAAGCACCTGTAGCAAATTTCTGAGATATAACATAAAAAAAAATTTCTGAGAGTTCCTGGTTTCAGTTCAAAACTTTTTTTTTGACTGATTTGCATTACTGCTACTTAACATGCAAATAAAANTTATTGTCTATGGCTTTTGGCTCCCTAGTTATTGATCACCCTACATACAGGGTGTCCTAAATTAGACAGATAGCTTTCAAATATTTCAGCACAGGAAAAGTTTAATTTTTAAAATAAAAGCACCTGTAGCAAATTTCTGAGATATAACATAAAAAAAATTTCTGAGAGTTCCTGGTTTCAGTTCAAAACTTTTTTTTGACTGATTTGCATTACTGCTACTTAACATGTAAATCAAAAAAAAAAAAATAATAATAATAATAATAATTGATAATCACATCACAACTTTTCAATATATTTTTAAAAAATTAATTCATATTCCAATACTTTCAAAATATCGACCATCAGCCAAAATCACAAATAATATAACACGTTGTAATTTTATTTTTAATTATTTTCTTTGATTTAGAGGTTTGGTATTCGCAACGCCATCTGTCAAAAGCATTTTGAACTAAACCATGAGCTCTAGGAGGAAAAATTTAAGCCATGTCACATGAATTAAATTTTTTTTTTATTTAACTGTAATCTTCTTCTTGTTGTAAATTTTTGAAAACTATTAATTTGAATGAATTGGGACTCTCTCGATATAGTTTCTCGGTAAAGGTTGAATCCAATACTGTTGAATATCGTGTATACCTCAAAGACGCGTTAAAAATACGATCATGTAAATCTGCATTATATCGCATAGTGGACAAAGAAAAAAAAACATCAAATGCAAAACAAAGTATAAGAGTAGATAACATTTTTGAGAATTAGATTTAGTAGCTCTTATTTTTAGACGAATTCTTTCATTCAGTTACTTTTCTCGTTCTTTGGCAGCAAACCACTTCATATAAAAGAGTGAAATAAATAAATCCTATACCTAATAGCAGACCAAATGCGTCCTTGGAACAGGAAATCGACATTTTTTATTTATATTTAAAAATTTATCTTGATATTTTTCTCTAATCAGATCTATAATGTTGACAGTTATTATGCATAACATCATGAGTTTTGTTATTGATAGCTAATCGGTAACCAAAAAATTTAAATGCAATTTAGAACAAGAAATTTTTTCTAAACAAACATAAAAGTTATTGCAAATCTGAAGCTAATGGAATAGCTTCTAAATAGTCTTGACCAGACGCAATTATGAGCAGAAGTTTTTCGAAAAAGAACTAAGTTTTCAGGACGAATCTACTTCAGAGTTCAAGTTTATAGAAGTTTTAAGAAAAGGGTGCTTGAAAACAATATGCATCTAAGTAGAGGAATGAATCTGGAAATATTTCTGGAAATGAGTACTAAAGATCCTTGTCTAGATGCATTTCAAGTAGAACTTCATAGAAAATTATACTAAGGAGTCATACCTATATACATCAAGGTTGATGCTTCTGGAAAGGTATTAAGAATATTGTATAAACACAGCTCAGATATTACTATCCGATAAATCGGTTCCACGTTGAACCATATTTTTGTTACCTTGAACCATAAAATTGTGCAAATTTACTACGACCTTGCTAAGGGGTCAAATCAAACCGTGTTTCAGTTTAAGTTGAGTCCCAGTAACGTATAATGAAGGTTATGAAATATGATGAGTTGGCTAAAATTAGCATTACATTAAAGTTACGGCAAATTTGGATGATAATTATGGTTCGGCGGCTCCAAAATTTTTAACAGTATAGAAACGTGTAATCAAGATCATAGTTCAAAAACATTCTTGTGTGGAAGTTTCAGAAATTATTTATTTAAGTACCTCGTCAAATTCCGCCAAAATTTCTTGTTTTGGCTGAATTTTTAATCTGTTTTATTTGCTTTAATTTTTTATACTAACTTTTGTACATTATTTTTGACGATTCGTTTCTTTAAGTTATATCCACCGAAGAGCCATTACATTATGACCACCCTGCTAATAGCATGTAGGACCACCTTTAGCCCTCAAAACTGCTAGCACCCGCAGTGGCATTGATTCCACAAGGTGCTGATAGGTAGTCTGAGGTATCTGGTACCAAGCGCTCACCAACTGATCCTGCAATTCCCTCACATTGCGAGGGGGTAGCGTGGCAGCACGAATTTGGTTTTCCAAGTAGGA